CTTTACGGTACTTTTGTACCTTTTTCAGTCGCTTAGCCGACAGCTTGAGAAGGGGAAGATCGGGTAGTTGGATTATCTTCACTGATGTTTTTTTGATGGTTGCAGTCCTCAGGGCGCTGTTGAGGCGCGATTCAAAGTCAGCGTCTTCAAGTTCCTCGCTGTTAAGGGCTTCCCTAAATTTGTCCCGGTGTACAATGTTGGCTGTGCGTTTTTTAACCTTGTACTTTACCCGTCTCATCGGCGAGAATTCGAAGCGGATGGGGAAGTGGTCGCTATTTCACGTATCCGGTAGGCATTTCCACTTGTGGTGTTGAATGTATGGGTTTGTGGTCCAAGTGAGGTCGGGTGTGGTATCCGACTGCCCGGAACCTCCTAGTCTTGTTTTGACTCCTTTCTTGTTGACCAGGTTTAAGCGGAAGGTATGCATCTCGCCCACTAAGTCTTTCGCCTCCGGAGATTCATGGTTGTATCCCCACATAGGGTGGTGGAGATTAAAGTCTCTGTAAAGCTTTTGTTCTTTGGGGTAAAGATCGTGAATATGGGAGATCTATAGGTTGGTTCTTTGCTGTGTCGCGGACTTGAGCGGTCTGTAGTAGATGGATGCTAGGACGATGTGGTGCTGCTGGACCTGGATTCGCACCGCCACGATTTCCTGCTCATCGTTGGAGTACGGGGTGAGGTCGACTTGGTGCTGAGGCCAGTCGTTCCTCACGTAGACAAGACCCTTCCCTGGAGGAGAAGTCGTTTCTCCAGGGCGTTTGGTGGTTATGGAGGGACTGGACTATACCAGGTATCCATAAAGATTGACGGCTGTGGTGTTTGTTTCCTGAAGTAACAGTACGTCAGGGCGTTCGTCAGGCTTATCCAGAAGGCGTACTCGGAGCTCCGCTGCCCGTTGGCGGAGCCCCTGACAGTTCCACTAAAGAACTCTCACCATTTTTCGTTGAGTATTTGGGCTGCTAGCGCCTTTTGCCGGTTAGCAGTTTCCCTGTATTGCTTGATTTCCTCTTGCGGGGGCTGGACTGTGGCTTTAAGCCTGTCGAGTTCAGCTTTGAGGTAGCTGTTCATGTTGCGAAGCTCTTGTGTTTCTGACCCTCCAGTGGGGGCCGGTGGGGGTGCGTGGATGTTCTGCTTCATCTTGTCAGCCCATAAAGTGCCGCTCTGTGTTTTCGAAGCATTCTTACTCTTTCTGTGTTCACCGACGGTTGTTGCAGTCGGTGTTGTTTTTTTCAATTTCTGGATGTCCTCCCGCATCCGTTTGTTCGTTGCCGACCACGTTGGGCATTTACGATCTGTACCCAGGTGGCCTTTCTTCTTGCACCCCTGGCAGTAGGGAGTAGAGTCCGGAGCTCCTGGTCCCTTGGTGGAGTCAGTGTCGGCTAGGTGAGAAGTTTCACAGGTCGGGCACACCGCCTGATTCGGGCAGATGTCAGATTTCTGGCCCAGCCTGTGGCACTTACGGAACGTAACTGCCTTTGTTGTGTGGAAATACTCTCATGTAGCGCTTGCCGTAGAAGATCGACCTCCGTAGTTTCTCTCCGTCGAATGTGATGACAGCCATATTCGACTTGCCTAGCCGACGGGCGGCCACGATGTCGACCTTCTCCGATTCGAGTTCGCAGTTGAGGACTTCGTCGCGCGGGTCCTTCTCTTTAGGGTAGATATCATAGATGATACCTTTGGTGTATGACGTTCTAAACGTGCGGAAGACTTGTACAGGAAGTGCTTCGCGCCCCTGCACTTTGATTTCTGTAATCTCACTTAGCATTTTTGCCAGCTCCTCCGTGTCTGTACGGACCGAAATGGTGTTGGCTTGCTCGATGAGGTGCATCGAGAACGATGCTGTAGTGCGCAGCATGGTGCATTGCGTCTTGAGCGGTTGAAGGTAAGGCTTTATCGAGACTTGAGAGTTCGTAGGGCGAACCTTGTACTCAAACAGGCGCTGTCGGGGCCGTACCGTTCCGTGGGTTTGGAGTGAGGGGTCTACTCGTACCCGTTTTCTGCTCTTGTAGGTGACTGGTGTCCATTTTTCGTCGTCTGAAGGCAATGGACCTTGCCACTCGGTTGCGGCCGCGCCATCTTGCGCGAAGCCTGCTGTAAATATCATCAGCGCAGTTGTATTGGCGTCTTGGCGCCGGCTTGCCGCTGTGATCGGCGTTTCTTAGGCTGGCGTTGTTGCTTCGGGCATAGCAACGCTTGCTGAGTTCGAAAATAAATTCGCCGTCGGCGGTTTTGTCTTGTCCTGTTTTTTCTTCTTGCCCTTGCTGGGTTTGTTTGGACTGGACTCTTCGAGAAAGTTCTTAAAGATGTCAATGAGGCGTTCTCTCGGAATCGCCGCAAATAGAACCTTCAGCGCGATTTCCGCCGAATCTACGTTATTGGTAGTTGGTCAAGATTCACCAAGAAAAGGTTTCTCCTCCGCGATGCGTTTTGCTGGTGTGATCAGCGAAGTGGGAAGCTGGGCGCGTGTCCATCTTCTCAAGGTTCCCGTCCACAGATAAGGCCGCGGCGGGTGAGAAGCTGGAAGTCGGTGGGGTTTTTGAGGTCATCAGTATTAGGTACTAGGCCTAATAGCGGGAGCTCAAGAAAACGCGCCCGAACTCGTCGGTAGCTTCTTCTTTCTCCCGAATCCTGTCGACTGCGCAAACAATTTTTTTTCTTTTTTTAAGAAGACAGATGGGATGGCAGTCGATGTGACCACGGACGCCAAACAAGGCTAGACCCTAAGGAGCTTCGCCCCTAATACTTTTCTTCAAACCCTATCAAACATAGAGCACCATATAGCTCCTACGGAGCGTAATAGTAACGCAATCCTTTAATCCGTGCGTTTTGCCGACAACATGGCCGACAGAGCAGCTCGGCGCGAGTCACGTTGTATTCAGGGTTTTAGGAGGTGGCCCTCCCTATGGGCACGGTGTAATATACACTCTTTGGGTGAGGACACGGCGGGGCTGAATGCGCGGCGCGAGGAATCATATAGCGTTTGTTCGACGGGCATCCGAAAGGCTGCATCATTCCGCGGCCACCGTACCCCCGGCTGACAGTGTCACCGACGGCCAAATGGCGAAACTGTGTGAGAGAGAAAACATTGTCTCGTTGCCATGACACCCCGGTACACCGTGGTCTTTCTGCACGTGCGACAACCTCGCTGGAGCTCTGCGCGTGGAGCATGAGGCGACACGAGCCGTCTTGTGCACTGCTGCCTGCCTCCTGTTACACCTTGCCCACACGTGCCCACGGGTCGACGAGTCATCCGGCGCCGCTTGAAACCATAGTGAGAGAGAGAAAGGGAGAGAGTGAAAAGCGAACTTTATCGGCACGTCGCCAGGAGCGCGCTATCCTCACCTGAAGAGTGTCATCTTACACAGTGCTCTATGGGGGAACACATAGAAATCGACGCAACACGGCTGATTAAAACATAAACGCCGAGTACACACTTTTCGAAACTAGTCTGTCGGGAAGTTGGTAAAGCTCTAAACACTTTATCAAAGCTTTCATAATATTGGATGCGTGTGAAAATATTGAGAAGGCAACTTCCAAGGCAATGGCGTTTGAAGCAGACGACTCTTTTATGCCGTGAAGATGGACTTTATTGGTTGGCCGGAGCGGGTCACGTAAACGGTATGACGTCGGCGCCTCGTCTGCTCCATAATGCCGCTCAGGCAATTAAAAACAAATTACGTCCTTACACGGCCCACAACTTAGTGCAAATTATTGTGAAATATTCCTTCATTATGTCCAAAACTATTATCGTTCCGTATATCCCCAAAATATTGAAAAGACAACGATTTTCTTACGTTCCCCATGCATTTGTGATCTGATTTGGAACCCCGGCGGTCGCCACTAGCCATCGAGAGATGGCGTTCTAGATTGCGATACTCTGCTCCGAAGGAGCTATATAGTGCTCTAATAAAACAGAGATTCACGCTAAAAAACTCAGCGAGTCTACTTTTCTAAAAAAGCCCTGGGAAAGTCAATCGCTTATAACTATCGGGGGAGCTTGACAAATTACATAACTAAAAAAATGTGTAGAAATAATAATAAAAAAAACGGATTGAGCATGACACTTTTTGTGCTTCTGAATGCTTCAAAGATTTTTTTAAGGTCTTGATACTAGAAAATATATTAAGCCTCGTCAATTGCCGAGCTCCTTTTATAGCTTTCAGCAACCGGCTCTGAGAGCTTTGCGGAGATGTATACCACATTTCATTCAGCGCTGAAATATTTCAGCTCGAAGGAAGGAATGAGCTAACCACTTTCATCTAGGTAGAAAAAGCTCCGAAGTTGATTATCCTAATGGCCTGTGTGATGACCGAGGAAAATGTAACTCATGTTGAGGGAGAACTTCTGATTGATCTCCTGCTACAGCCGAGATAAATTTAAGCAAAGTTGGGTTCTAAAGACACCGCCTTTTTTATTATTCAATTGAACATCTTCAGCTTGCAAAGCTCAGGGCATGGTGGGAGCCCCGACTTTTTCCTCCATTTAAGAAGGAGCATCGTGGAACTTGATCCCCACTACTTAAACGCTTGCCTAGAAAATCGGAAATGAACTCAGTCTGCACGTGCATGGGGCGTCTCACCGGTGTTGGTTGTTCCTGTCTGTCGTTCTAGTAGGACTCGGGGGCCCCCCCATTTGTACTTCTACTCCTTTTCATCCCAGTCTTAGGGCGTGCCCAGACTCCCTAAAATAAATTACGTTTCAATGTAACAACACTTGTTGTTGCCAGTTATCTGTTGCCAGTTATCTGAGGCTTTAGGTGAAATCGCAAGAAAAAACGACTTTCCGTTCTCCAGAAACGTGAAAGCAGTTCGCGACAGGCCACGACGATACTGCCCAAGTTTCGTGATGCATCGTATATCTGGAGGTCAGCAAATATCGCTCTGCCAATGTTCCAATGTGGCGCTGCCCCCGAGGAAATTCTGGTAACGGAGTGCCGATTCTCTAAGCATATTTGGTGACTCTAGGTACCTACGATGATGTATACTGTCTGCGCAGAGATGCCTTTCTGGCAGCAGCGGTTGCCGGGACGGCAGCCCATCCTGAACGCCGGCAACGTGTCTTTGCCCCTTATCGTCGTCGGCCTCGTCTTCATCCCCGCTGGTGTCGCCATCTTTTTCAGCTCCAACAGGGTAACACGCTATATATGCTAAAAACTTTAGAAAAGAAAAAAACACGACATGATTTATAGCGTTCCCGCTTCTCGTACCATGAATGGTTTTTCTGCGATCTCTTCGGCTGACGCCGCTCATTGGCTCTGGAGCGATGATAAAAACTCGTCATGCACCGCGTCCCCTAAAAAACACCCCAAGGAAAAAATACTTGCTTTAAGTGCATAAATACTTTTTGAAATAATGATTGCGGAAGAAGTTTGTTCGCGCAATATTTACTTTGTTAGACGCAATTTAGGTGCAGAAGGTGGAGGTAGCAGCACGGTCACGCCTCGCCCGTGCTTACCAGGTATACTTACCTCTTTCATTGGCTGGAGGGACGATTGACTTGTGAAAGGTTGTTTGTAAATCTGTATCTCCGTGCAATAATATTATTTGTATTCTAAGCTTGCTTCTCCCACTTTGGTTTGAAATGCTAACAAACATGGCTGCCAGCGTCTACGAGTGCGAGTCATTTTGAGATTCCGGAGGGGTTTAGAAAAAAACCTGATCAACCGACGTAGTTTGCGACAAACAACTGCCCCACGTATGCGCCTTTGGAAGTCCTGTGCGGATAATTGTTCTTGTACCGGGACTGGCCTGAGCCTGGCTTCTCAAATCAACTTGTTTGACCAATCTGCATGTCTTGATTTATTTCTCGGCTTGTGTTGATGCTGGCTAAAGATGTAGGTTTTCGTAAAGACGGCCCCGCTGCTCTGTGAGTTGTGCAACCGTCGTGATTGTGACCATGGCTTCGATGCGGAACGCAAGTTCGTCTGCTTCTTTTGCAGGGGGGGTTGTGGTGACGTCAGAACGCCGAACTCTGATTGGTTCTGAATGAGGGATAGTGGGTAGACCTCGAGGCCGCTTGCTTTGAGGTCTGCCCACTATCCTTCAATCTGAGCCAATCAAAGATCGGCGTCGTTCTGAGGTCAACGCAGCTCCTGCGCAAGAAGCAGACGACTTACTTTTAGCATACCGAGAAAAGTTAGAGCTTGTGAGCTATTTTGATTGATGCTATTGGGTGTTCGGCTCGCATCAAGTTCGTCGATGGTTCCATCATTGTGCCTCGAAATGCAAGCTTTTAAATTTTGCAGTGCACCTGATGGGCTTACCAAATCGACTATTTTTACGTCGCGTTTGAAGTTTATGTCATGACGATCAACCACCTTGCTCGCGGATGCCGTGCGAAAAAAAAAAATAACGAAAGCAGTAAAGCTCAAGATACTGCACATTTATTTTGTTGATTCTTTCTTGTTATTTCGGCCTCTTATGACGCACATAGATAGCCGCTGACAGACGCTTGTATGCGGAGGGCAAGTTCGCATGCTTCTTGCGCAGGGGGTAGCAGTGACGTCAGAACGGCGAGCCCTAATTGGCTGATCGCGACCCACTATCTGAGCGTCGTCTGCTTCTTTCCAACGTCGTCTGCTCGCAACGTCGTCTGCGTCTGCCTTACCTTTCCTGCGACTTTCGGAAGCGCAGGTCTTTACGAGCAAGCTCTACTTCGCCTTTCAGAGAGGGCAGACGAAATAACTCGAGCGGTAGGTTGTTTTTGTCTAACAACTAGCAGACGCGCATCAAGGAGAGAAGTCAAAGGACTCACTGGCGAGGTGTCCCGAGGCGCCGAGGTTTGTTTGCTAAGAATCGAGAGTGAGGGGGTTAGTGTCCGCGAGTTCCCTCCCAAATACTTTTTCCCTCCTTTCGTGTGCGGCGAGACTCCTCACGCTTTAACGGCGTCGGCGGGTTGGTGCAGTTAACGTCGTCTGCTTTACGTCTGCTAGTCAAAGCTATGGCTGCTTTACCTTTTCTGTGTCTGTCAGAGATTCACCGCTTTTTCACCGGCGAGAACGCGGCCTTTCAAAAGGGCGAAAGGAAATACCTTGAACGATACGCCCTTTGTTTTGAGGTGAAGATTTCACTCTTGTTGCGAATGTCCAGGCGTCGTTCAAGAATTGTAGCTACGCGGTAAAGATGCCGCTCTCCGATAAAGGTGACATTTTAGATTTTGCCCTCTCTGAAAGGCAAAGTCGAGTTCGCTCGTAAAGACCTGCACTTCCGAAAGTCGCAGGAAAGGTAAGACAGACGCAGACGAAGTTGCGAGCAGACGACGATGCAAAGGAGCAGACGACGCTCAGATAGGGGGGTCGCGATCAGCCAATCAGGGCTCGGAGTTTTTACGTCACCGCTACCCCCTGCCAACGTTATTAGATTAACTCAGTTGTGGAACTCTCGCTTGGCGGATTGAAGTGAGTGAGGGGGGTACCCCCCTCACTCACTTCAATCCGCCAAGCGTCGTTCAAAGCGCCATCTATATTTTCGTTTCATAACTGTGCGTTCGCAAAAGCCCCGCTGAAGCGCCAAATGGCGATCACAACGCCGCCATTTACCCTGCAGCGGTCACTCGAGGAACCGCACCTAACATCTATTTTGGCTTGAATCGGCCATTTCGGAGCCGAAACATATACAGTGGAAAGGATTACAGGGATGCCACCCCCGTCTCCCCAGCGGTTGCGGCATGAATTTATCCCGAAGTTAAGATGAGCCTAGGTCGGGACGCGCTACCTGAAATTACCGCTGAGGCATGGTTGTATGAAAAATATATTATTGTGCCGCAAAACCTAGCAAACTAAAGATTTTAGAAAACATCACGCGCCCCCCATTTTGTAGTAAACTCCAATAAAAGTTAATGCAAAAAAAGTTTTTTTTCCGTTGGTTTTTACGTTTCTAGCAACGTTGAAACGTACGTCTCCTGATTCAGTTACCAAAGCAGCCGTCTGGCGGCGCGTCGAGCGACGCTGGGCGAGTCGTGGTGAGTGAGGGGGTACTGTTCGTGCATGCGGCGTCTTTGAGCAGTTTTGTGACTGAGCTAATCTAATAACCTTGCCCCCTGCGCAAGAAGCAGACGAACTTGACCTCCGCACTCGGCCGTGACCCGTGCATGTTGGAACGCTAGAGCGCAGCTTTCATGGTTGCGTCTTCTGGGCGTTGCTCTAGTTGTTAGAGGGCGGATGAATAGCAGACCGACGGAGGCGAAAACGGACGCCGGAGCGCAGCTTTCGTGTCCGCGTCTCACGGCCTTTTTGACGACGCTGACGGCGATGAAATAGCAGATAATGCCGGAGGCAGCCGTTCGTCTGCTCGCTGGACTGGCAGGCGGCTTTAGACTTCCAGACTAGACGCACCGGATGACGCAAAAGGCAAGCAAGCAAATTGTTGTGTGTATGTTGATACAGCCGGAAGTTAGTCTGCCTCAGTGGGCGTCTCTTGTCTCGGCATCTAGATGGGCAATTTAGCCAGTGTGGTACAAGCGCTTACCTGGGGTCTTCAACGTGCACCACGCAGAAGTAACACACGACCGCACGCCGGTACGATGCTCATCCAGATCGAAACGGGCGAGGGCAGGGATTGAACCCAGGATCCTGGGTTCTGCAGCGCGAGATTTCGCTCCACGTGCTCCACGGAAAAGAGAAAACACCACGCTTGTTAGAATTTTCGGTAGAGCAGTCAAACCATTCCAGTAATAAAGGGTGGAGTCACTGATTTGTGGGCGGGGCTTAAAGCGGGTTTTTAACGGCGTAAATATTGAGCGATATTTTTTGGGGGGCTGCGTTGAAACATTATTTTAAAACATGTGTCCAAATTACGTCTTTTTAAAAAAAAAAATCTTTTTGTTTTCATGAATTCTCCCTTTAAGCGCTATGTGACTGTGGAATCTTCCTGTCGAGCTGCCTTGTTGCTCATCTTAAACAAAGAAAGAAGACACAAAAAAAGAGAAGGCGAGGGGCACAACACATGTATATGACCTTTTTATCTCAGTTCCGAATTTCTTTATGAATAATCCTCAGTTTTTCTAAGTATTTTATAAATTGTCTTCGTTGTTGTGGAGCAAATGCGCAAGATAACAACAAAATCGAATGTTTATTTTTTTTTTTTTTTGGGGGGGGGGGGGGGGGGGGAAGGGGGGAATTGGTACATTTACTTTGCTTTTAAATATTTAAAATGTGTTTGCTCAATCATTAAATTTTTTTCTGAAGTGTACACTTTTAGCAAATCCTGCCGATCTTCAGAGGATACAGTTGGGCGCATTATAAAGATTATTTCAAGTATAAAAAATGACGCTGCAGAGTTACGATGGGCATGATGAACATCCGAAACGTCATACTAGGAATCGCACGTCAGACGACGTATCCTGGTGTTGAGCGTCTCCCCGTGTCATTCGCAGGGCTCCAGCTTAGCTTGGCAGATATTTCCACATAGATTTAGGGGCACATCAAATGTGTCCTATCATGTTTCACACGACGTGTGTACCCATCACAGGTTGGTTTTGATTGACCTCTATCAAAAACCGTTAACGAGCCATTACTGCTGTATCGTTCACGCGAACGAAGGCGGAACAAGATGGCGACGGGTTTCAATCACAAGGCCGCAGGCTGCCGCCCCCCCCCCTCCCCTAATTTTACTGACAGTATATTTACTACACCCCCTAATGGATAAAGTGTGCACATTAGGTCATTGTCATTAGATCCCCGACCCACCCCAAATGGCAAACAGACTGAACGAGTGCCGCAGACGCGTGCGTCTTGGGGTCGTCGCGTCCTAGCTTTGCCCTCATTGTGAGACTCTGCAAGACGTGCTGTTGACGACGTTGACGTGACGCTCTAGGCATGCTTGAATGCTTACTATGTACGCACTCGGATGCCCAATTTGTGGTGCAGCTGCAAGAGTACCAGTTCGACTACACCCAGTGCAAGCGCGTGAACTCCAACCAGACCTGCGCATCCATCATCGAGAGGGACCCGCGACAGAGCTGCGTCTGCCTCGAACTCATTCAACTTCCAGAGGACTTCAAGGTGGGACGCAAGCTCGTGTTTGAGGATATCCTACTATTGTTTGTTTGTTTTTCGTTTCTTCTGGTCCAGCTGCATTGAAATAAGCGATGCTGGGAGACCATGATCTTTAGTGAATTCGCGCCTCTGGTTGGAATATATATATACTCTTCGTTTCAGAATTAATTGTGATGCTTGTACCACGCAATCGCTAGATTAATATGCTCAAGTGCTCGAGATTTCTTCGAATGTACGTAAGAGAACAACTACATCATTCATGTAAGCCGTCGTGAATTCGTTTTTTGCGTTGCTGAGTACGATGTCCATGACACATTGGAAGCTCGGAGTTGGACAAACCGAATGTCAAGCGGGTGAACTCGAACAAACCTCTTAGTCTGTGCCAAATGAACACGCTTTTCTGCACGGCTAATGACTGAATCTCGGTCTGAAGAAGCCTGCGACTGCAATCGAGCATTGTGAACACGGTCGCGTTAACGAGCGGGTACATTACAGAGGAGATGCCGGTAAAACGGATACTGTCCTTTACAGTTACGACGTTTAGCCGTCTAGTCTAAACAGATTCCTGCTGTTCCGTCTTCTTTCGGATCGAGAACAATAGGAAACGTCCAAGGGCTCTTTGACTCACGTACTGCATCGGTATCAATAAAATTCCCTTCCCCACACGGTGATCGGCAGCAAATTGCACCTCCGGTGCGTCGCAGGTTTCGATGCGGTGCAGCAGGATGTTTGTCGTTCCTGGTTATTCCGTGAACATTGGTGAAAATGGCCGAAAAATGTCCTTTAGTTGCTTCTCCTTACGTTCAACGCTCGAGCATTTCCGCAGGTCATCAGAAATGCCTGTAGGCAGGACAGCTGAAGGCACTGTGAAGTGGGTCGGGTATATTGGGCCGCGGTGGTGCAGCCTTCCATTCTAGTATCCTGAGTCAGCTTCATCTGGCTTTCTAGCCGGTAGCCTCCACCAAGAAAATTTGGCATCATGTTCTCGCCTGCATGAAAATCTCGGCCCAAGATCAGGGGTATGGCAAACTATGGTAAACAAAGAAAGCGCCGACGCGTGCTTTGTCGTTAAACAAGATTTCGAACCTGACGCCCGGTTTTTGTGCAACAGGAAGCTATACGTTGTTTCACCTTGCGTTCAGACGCTGCGGATGCTACGAGCTGGTGCCACCAATCAGCAGTGTCCAAATTTTACCATTATGGCTAATAAATACCAGTATATTTGGTGAGGTTCATACACGCACGAAATAATAAACACATAGGACGGAGTATCAAGGTGTTCGTCAAGCTTCAGTATGCGTTCTACCATCGCTGAACCAGTCGTTAAGGTAAAAGGCATAGTGACTTTCGCTTTTGACGCTGCTTGATTGGTACCACTGCCTCGTAGCCTCGGCTGCGTCTGGGCTTAAGCTGAAACAAAAAATACAACAGTGGAGGCGATTGAGATGAACGAAACGTTAGTCTCTTTGATTTGCATACTTCATTAGCGTCGTCCTCAGTAAGCAATATAGCGCCCCCGGTATCAAAAGGGCGGCCAAGGGAAAACTACAAGGTAATTTTCGTGCGTGGTTTAATGACTGTAGGAATAGTCTGCAATCGTCTTTGCTTGCGCGCATCTGAATGTGACAGTGGCCGTCGGCGTATGATGCGCTGGAACTAATAGCCCCCGATTGGGTCATTTAGCCTGCTGGAGTCGTGACGAGAGCTCTGGAAACCGCTACTGAAAGGATTTTTCCGGGGTTGACCGGGGGCCGGGAATTCCGCGGACACCATTGGCCATTCAACATCGTGATTGAACGGTTTTCACTTTTCCGTTGCTCGGGTACTTACCGCCGGGAACTGACACCGCGTCGTCAGTGGCGACGTTGGCTTTCGCTTGCACACTGCCACCACCACCTCTCTCTCCCCAACAGGAAGCGGTGCACATATACTACGGACTTACGAAGTACTACCAGAACTTCCGGTTGTACGTCCAGTCGAGAGACGACAAGCAACTGCTTGGAGAACCCCGCCGGAGCCGGTCCCAGTGCGAACCTGTCGCCCGAGACGGCAGGACGGGATACGTGTACTACCCGTGCGGTGCCATCGCCAACAGTCTCTTCAACGGTAAAAGTCGCATAAAAATTTCTACCGAACTTTTTTTTTCCGTTACATATACAGTTTTATCTGCTGTGTGGCAGACTGCTTACAATGAGCCTGGAAACCTTAAGTTCGACTTCAATGAGGTAGAGGGGCTTAGAGCCAAAAACCGGGGTTCCGGTCCGCACACAAAAGTGCCCCCCCCCCCCTCCCCCCCAGGCCGCTCCCATTGTACGTAAATGCGACTAGTCGTCACGTGAATAAACGAAATGCGTGACGTCACAAGAAAGATGGCAGCGCCCAGGTAGTGGCTGGGCCCCACTGGGCCGGGGCATCGGCTGAAGCTTGTCGGATGAGTTGTTCGTTGTTGTTGGTCTCAGCGAGTTGATTTCAGATGCTGCGGTGATCATATGAAGCACGTCAAAAGAGACTTCGGAGTTCAGCGTGGTCTCTCCCGTAGGTATAACGTGGAAATATGGAGGAACGGTGCGCAATTCGCTGGTGATCGACGGGGATAACGGGACACGGGTGGCGAACTGTCCCACGTCTTCATGGGGAGCCGTGAACAAAGTCCGATCCCGAGCCCGGCAGAAAAACCGCAAGACGAGCGAGTCCCACAACAACGAACCCTGCAAATAAACCACGATGAATTTGAAATTCGAGCCAGTCGCTGTTACCATGAAGAACCACCGGAATGCGGTCTTCTGCCAGAAAAACCGAAGTGGACTAAGCCAACGATGACAACCAACCAGTAGCCGCAGACAGTGTCTGCAACTACCGTTTGCATGCCCATCGCCTTCACACTCCGACTCCCTTTCATGGCGAGGTGTATGAAGACGTCGAGGACTGGATTGACCAATATGACCATGGCGCCCACCACAACGTTTGGAAAGACGATCAGCACTTGCAGAATCTATACTTATCATAGAAGAAACTGCCAGGCACTGGTTTGAGAACCACGAACCCTTCTGAACGTCGTGGAAGTTTGCAAGATTGAGCTAAAGTGAACATTTGTCAGCCAACATCGACGAGAGAAAGAAAAAGAGCAGAATACCTGATTCGGTCGAGAACACGGCCCCAACGAGAGCGTCACCACCTTCGTGGAGGATGCCTTGCGCCTGGTCGAGTGCCCGCCCCGACCCTCATGCTACACAAAACAAAAAGCTAAGAATCGTCATGTCCCTCATGTGAGGGGCAACATCTTCGGCAGCCTTGTCCGCAACCCTCTGACAACAGTCGAAGGGTTCACCACCGAGGCTTCCAACACTGAACGTGCACTGCATGCCCAAGCTAACGACTCCACGGTGTCTCGGAACTCGAATCGTCCTGCTGCAACTTCGAGCTTCCCAGGCAACCGCGAAATCATCCTCGACGTTGTCCGGGAGGAGATTAGGAAGCTTCTTCCTGCGAGTAGTCACTCGGCTTTTATTTCGATTGCCGAAATTGTTCGGGAAAAAGTTCAACAGGCATTTCAACCGGAGATTGCTGCGAGCGAAGCAGCATATGACGAATCGACTTACGCCGCAATGGCACGACGACCGCCACCGGCTGCCCGTTAGTATTCAATGCCAATTCAACGAGACACTCCAACGCCGCAGTATTCCCGACGTCGAGAAGAACCAGTGTAGGTCTGCGCCGAACAAAGTACACCGAGGAAGACGGAAGTGTTGCAAACGGCCGACCGACGACCACTCTGCGACCCCTCCGTCAGGCCGACCGTGTCTACTGGAGGTGTCCGTGCCAGTGAATGGGCCTGCGAGGGTTCGCGTAGAAGGACCCTCGACCACGTCCCAAGGAGCAACAGGGCACATTAAAGGGATGGTGAACCGAAATTTGGATTTCAGAAAAAACAATGCAGGAGATGTAGGCGGGACACTACAATCCCTACAGCACTACGCGTAAGGCAATATCTCGAATGGACGGCCGTATTTTTTTTAAAAAGAGGCCGAGATTGAACGAGGCCGACGAGGCGTGTGGCGTGAAGATACCTAGTTTCTGCCTCTCTTCGCTTCGCTCCCTCAAGGCAGCGAGGCGGAGAAGACGCGAGGCCGTTCCCTCGCCTTCTCGGAGAAACATGACGTGATCATTTTTGTCAAATGCGCCTCGTTTTCTTGAAAAATACGGTCATCCGTTCGAGATATTTCTGTATGAGTGATGTTATGGGTTTGTAGCATCACGTTGCACGCTTTTGCCGCGTGTTTTGTGGAATCAAGATTTCGGTTCAGCATCTTAGGCGGCGTCTGTCCCTGGTCTCCTTCTGCAGTTATTGTCCCATATCTTCACTCCCTTTCTCTCACTGGCTCGAGGGGGCTGTGGCGGCTGCCCTTTGCCAAGTTATGGAGAAACAAAGTATAGGCAGCACACACTTTAGAAAAACGTCTAGTGAAGAAACTGAAAGGAATGGTAATCAACATTTTACAACAATACTACTTCTTCGGGCAAGGGACGAACAAAAATGCAAGTTATCTTGTCCACGTAATTAGACCAAGTAAATAACCAAGCGACAGATACAATGCACTCTTGGTGAAAAAAGTTACAGCTGCAATGAATCCTACGAAAGGTAAAACATGCTGTTCATCTTTTAATTCCGGTTTGCATTAAATTTATTGAATTGTTGATATGTCTGGTGCTATCTCTGAACCTCTAAGGAGTGGGGCTGTATTTTTTAAAGAATCTAGATGTTAAAACGATGGATTCGACAACCATCTAAGAAGAACCTGATCATACACTGGAGGTTAGTGCGAACTATTGATACCGATCGGCCAACGTCAAGAACCTACTAATACTAATCTCCAAGGGACGTCGGACGCCGTAATTTATGCACTAATCAATCAAAATTGTAAAACCTCCTAACTGTGTTTTGAGTTCCAAGGGGATAAATGAGCTGTTTTATGAACGTTAGTGATAAATTTTTTCCGAGTGATTAGTTGGAACGCTTTGTAAGAGTTTGCGTGCACGTCACTTAAGCAAACGCCAGCTTTTCATACACTCATAAAAAAGTACTGCTATCAAATTCAAACGATACTGCAATGAGAGCTCGTTGTATAAAAATATTGAGAATTGTCGATTCGTAAAATCGTCGATTAGTACAAAGGGGTAAACACCGCAAGTGCTTCCTCGCTAAATGTTGCTGCAATGTGATAACTCGGTGACCCAGGGCTGAAACAACTTTCCCTGTGCGCTACACGCAACGTATACGTGGCTTGCACATGACGTCATTTCCGATGACATCCAAAGGAAAAGGGGAAGGAAGAGCTCCCTCTTCTGATCCTCCTTTGTGCCTCCCGGATTTGCACAGACGTCGCTATTCTCCTCCCAAAAGATTATATAACATTAACCTGTCACTCAAATTTCTTACTGAAGCAGCTTTCCCCCCCCCCCCCCTTTTTTTACATGGTGGTGAAAAGTGTGCGATGTGACGTTAGTGCATGGAGCCTATACCTTTCGCTTCAATTCTCAGACATTCCAACGTTCAAACGAAGCCAGAAAAATTTGAAAGGTTTGTATTAAAAGTTATATCGTAAAATCGTGTATTAGTAAAAAAACAAAGATCGCAGAAGCTTCCGCGTTAGGTTGCTGTTATTACGCCGTTTCCTAGGGATGAAACAAGATCCCCTAGTCCCTACATGCAACGCAAACATTTCACATCGATTCTCAGTCATTCCAACGTTCATACAAAGCTGGGAGAATGTAAAAATTTTATGCTAAAAGTCCTATCGATCCTCGAGCACATCCGGGAATTCAAGCACCGCTACGGCGATACGACCGATGCTGTATCGCAGGTGCTGATATTCAGAGACGGCTCTTTATTATACAGAGCAATCCTGTACAAAAAGGGTATAAAGTCTCATTCCTTCAGATCTTCACGTTAAACCTGCGTCAGTGAGCACAAAGAAGTCGGAAATCGTCGGCAAGCAGAGGCACATCATGACTACCGCGCATTGAACTGAATTCAACAGCCCTGGGTGCTGCCTTCTTACAGATGACATCGCGGCTCTCGTAAGGTCACGTGACGAGTAGTCACTTTTGCATACTACATGGCGGCAACCAAGGAGGTGCCACTTTCGAACGTCCGGTTTATTACCCAAAGACCCTCTACCTCGTTGTTCGACATCCTAACTAACAACGTTATTAGATCAAGTCGGTTGCAGACCTCCCACGGAGAAGCGAATCCCTGGACTTCCTCCCAAGAACACCGATGATGATGACGATGATGACAACGTGGTTTGTTTCTTTTCCAGAGGGCGAGCTCCAAGAAATTTCGTGCCAGCAAACATAAAAATGTGAAAATTAAGATAAAACAGAAAAATGAACTTTATTTTCTTGTCCCACCAATGATCCAGCCTCGTGTTCGTCCTCTGGGCACATTGCGCTCATAGCCTACTGTCCCACGCCGCAGTGTTTCCTGTGGTCAACCTGGTCGTGTTGGGGTTCTGACTGGCTCCGATTCACTCGCGTCGGCATTGTCGGCACCTGGAGTCTTAGTAAAGCCAGGCCGTCCGCCAGCGTCGCTTCGGCGTGAGGCCGACAACGGTTCATCCCAGATGGTAGCAGGCACTCACAGGGCTGAACCGAATGCTCTTGTAGGATCTACGGTCACAAGGAAGAAGAGGACGCAGGGATGCGCGAGAGGCACGCAAAAAATATAGATAGCACAAGAGTGAGCCAGTGTTCGGCCTTACCTACGGACGAACAAACTTCACGTTGATTTCCTTTTTTTTTTTTAAATATGTAAAATATAATATATTGTGGCGCTCGCGACTCCTCGCTTTTATAAGAACCCACAATTTGGTGACCCGGCATCTCGGACTCAAAAACACCGTCCTCATCCGTCAAGGCAAGTACCTCTTTGGCGTTCAAATCCTTGGAACCGCCCCATCACCCGACGCACATTCACGCAGTCAATCATGAGTCACTCAGAAGACAGCTCAGCAGCCGCCGCAGTTGCTTCAATCCGGAATTCTGGTCGTCGGACTCGGAACTTTGGTTCTTGACCATCGAGTCCTCGTTCCGGAAGAATAAGATAA